CCCAAGTCCAAGAAGGTCACAGGCTGCAGAAGTCTGGGAAGTATGTATATAGTTATGCGCTGTTAGGGAAAGCAAACTACTGAGACACTAAGCTACAAACACCCAAGGGGAATGTATGTCTTATTCTCTTAAGGTACCATAGTGTTTCTAACAGTTTCTTCAGTTCCTGTTTCTATTTTTGTTTTTATTTTTTTTGAGATAGGGTCTTATAGGATATCTCAGGCTGGCCCCGAGCTTGTAATCTCCTGCCTTGGACTCCCAAATACTAAGACTACAGGTATGTACCACCATTCCTAGCTATCCAGGATTCTTTTGTATTTAGGTTCCCCAAATATCAACTTATTTATAGGCCGAGATATTACATCATTTTCAGGGTCCAAAGGCAAAGGGAAAAATGCAGGACCCTTCTCTGAAGAGTAGAAAAGCTTTTTCCTGTCTGTGGGAACTCTCCTCTTTTCCTCCCCACCTCCATACCATCCTCCTCCTTCTACTCTCTCTTATCCATGTATATGTGCCTGGCAAGGTGATTCTTGTTTTTTGGGACAAGGGGTTGAGCTCAGGACTCATGCTTGCTAAACAAGTGCTCTCCCAAGGAGTCATGCTCTTGATTCTTTTGCGTTTCATTTAGTTTTGTTTTCCAGACAGGGTCTCTCATACTTCTTTCCCAGGCTGCCTTTGAACCGCCATCCTCCTATTTTTACCTCCTGAGTAGCTGGGATTACAGGCATAAAATAAATGCTTGGCACCAGGTGTTTTTTTTTTTTAAATTGCTATCTACTATCATAATACACTTGACCATGGAGACATTTATAGGTTAAGTGCAGACCCTTACAGGTACCCAGAGTTCTGCCTGCCCCTCAGTGTATGGAACTTCCTTGTCCTGCCCCATTTTTGCTGCACTGAGCCCTCTGCTGAGAATAAAAGGTAGTACTGGTCATTAGGTAGGTACTGAGAAGTGGGTGGCCAGTGAAGTGGCAGGAGGTAGTGGGACGCAGGACTATGTATGACCTGAGGCTGCAGACCTCCAACATATACTCTGCTGTCCACCAGTCTTCACTCACACAAGTTCAAAGTCAAGAGAACAATCACATGGGATATAGCTCAGTGACAGAGCACTTGTCTAGCTTGTGTGAGGCCCAGGGTTTCAGTCCCAGCACCACAAAACAAACAGTGGCAGCAATCAGAATACCAGATCTTCAGAACAGGGTGAGAGCCCAGCCTTGTTGCTGTCTGGGAACCTTTCTGTTTCCCCAGAGAAGAGGTCTGCATCCTCCTCTCTGCTACATCTTGGGGAGTCCCATGAGAACTATGTGTAGGACTCATCCCCTGTGCCTGTGAGCCTCAGTGGGCTGCTTTTATTCCTCCTCTGTAGAAGCTCCATCTCCTGAGCAGGGTTGTTAAGTCTCCCTGCTCTCTGGTCCCACCGCCCAGCCACTTCTTAGTGGCTGGGTGGTTCCCTAGTCCTTCCCATTGAGTCCCATCTGCAGGTACAGGAGTACATTACTACCCTGTGTGGCACTGCCAACTGTCCGTTCATCAGCTGTCTACCCTCTAAAACTTTCACAGTCGATGCTGGTGACTCATGCCTGTAATCCTGCCTACTTAGGAGGCTGAGATTGAGGAGTAAAGTTCAATACCAGCCTGGGAAGGAAAGTCTATGAGACTCTTCTCTTCAGTTAACCACCATAAAGCCAGAAGTAGAGCTGTAGCTCAAGTGGTAGAGCACTAGCCTTGAGCACAAAAGCTCAGAGATGGTGGCCAGACCCTGAGTTCAGGCCTGAGCACACACAAAAAATTGTGCCATCTTTCACCTGCTTCCATGTCCTTTCCTCCTCGACGCAAGTTTCAGCTGGTGTGCTTCTTTGCCGTGCTTTGACTGAGGGTTTGGAGGAAAGGGAGAGAAACCCTTGCTCCAGCATGGTTGACAAAGTCAGCTGAGTCTTAGGTATACATTTACGTTAGAAAATGCTATTCCTGCTGGGAAGGTGGCTCAGTGGTAGAGTGCTTGCCTTGCATGCATGAGGCCCTGAGTTTGAGTCTTCAGCACCACATAAGCAGAAAAAGCCAGAAGTGGCGCTATGGCTCAAGTGGTAGAGTGCTAGCCTTGAGCTGAAGGGCTGAGGGACAGTGCTTAGGCCCAGAGTTCAGGCCCCATGACTGACAAAAAAAAAAAAAAAAAAGACACAGAAGATGCTATTCTTTCACCAAACACTTATCACATACCTACTGTGTGCCAAGTATTACGGGAGAGGCTACTGAAGTTCCTGCCTTCCTGGGGTGGGACTGAATCCCTAAGCGAGAGGATCCAGGTATGGAAGGCCGTGATGGAACAGAGGGTGGGGGTCTGGAGGCTATGCTGGGACTGGGGTGACATGGGATAGAGCCTGGCTGGGCTTCAGGGAGACCTTTCCTGTGCAGAGGAAAGGACTGGTCTTTCCTCACTCTCCCTCTTTGCTGTAATGGTGCTCACCTTTGTGCTCATAATGCTTCTGCGCTTCATTTTTCTATTCTTGTCCCTCTTGCCCTATTATTATTCCTCTTGTTCTTCTTCTTGGTGGTTACTAGAGTTTGAACTCAGGGCTTCACATTATCTAGGTAGACACTACCATTTTAGCCATTAGCCTCTTTTTGTATAAGTTAGTTTCAAGATAAGATTTTGATACCAAGGCTAGCCTGGACTGCAGTCTTCCTATTTGTGTTTCTCTTTATCACTGGATGACAACTGTGTGTCACTACCCAGCCATTGTGTTTGGGATGCCAGGTGTGCACCACTGATCCCAGCCATGGGTTGAGATGGTGTCTCTTAAACTTTATACTAGTTCTGGCCTTGAACTATGACCCTCTCATCTCCACCTGCCAAGTAGCAAGGGTTATATTTGAACCCTTGTACCTGGCTTCGTTCTCTATTATTATTGTTGTTGTTGTTTTTGCATCTGCTGCTTCTATTATTGTCATTAATTTAATACTGCTTCTTATCTTCCTGGTTCTGGAGTAGCAGAAAATCAAGTTTGTTTGAAATATAGCTTAAAAAAGCATTAATTGGACTGTGAGTTAAGGTTTGAGAAATTCAGCTGTGAGCAAAATGTATCAACTGTATCAATTTTATAACTTCTATTTTTACTACCCAGTCATCTTCTTAACTGCTACAGCTTAATTTATATTCCAGATGACCAAGGTTGCCATATAAATGAAGCATAACAACGATACTTCTATAAAACTTGCAACATCAGCTGCTGGCAGCCTCTTCCTTCCAGCCCTATACTGGTCTTGCCCCATTAAAAATGCAGTGGTCTTTTTTTGATTTGCTCACAAGGTTGATTTTTATTTATCATATTTTCCTTTATTCAAAAAAGCCTATGTTGCCAGGTGCTGGTGCTGCATAACTGCAATCCTAGCTACTCAGAAGGCTGAGATCTGAGGATCAGAGTTTGAAGCCAGCCTAGGCAGAAAAGTCAAGATTCCATCTCCAAAATAACCAGAAAAAAAGCTAGGCTGGAGGTGTGGCTCAAATGGCAGAGCACCTACATCACAAGAGCACAGCTTTGAATTCAAATTCCAGTACCACAAAAAAACCCACACAAAACAAAACAAGATCTATCTCATTTAAGGAATATTAAAATGTGAGAACACAGGCCTCCATCACTTGAGGCATGTCTCTAGCCTGGTCTGCTTGGTCTGGTTTTGAACCCTGATCCTCTAGGTCTTAGCCTCTTGAGTAGCTAAGATGACAGGAATGAGTTGCTGGTACCAGACTACTTTGGTTATTTTATTCAATTCTTTATTTATTTGGTGCTGTACTGGGGCTTGAACTTAAGCCCTGCATACTTGCTTGGCTTTTTCTACTTATAGCAGGCACTCTACCATTTGAACATCACCTCTTCTTATTGCTTAGTTGGAGATAAGATTCTTAGGGATTTGTCTATCTAGACTGGTTTCAAACTGTAGTTCTCAGACCTCAGTCTCCTGAGTTGCTAGGATTATAAGCATGACTCTCCAGTGCTCAGATACAATGCTTATTTTGAGATAGAGTTTTACTTTTTCCCTGGCTGGCTTGGATTTCAATTTTCAATTGGATTTCAATTTTCCTGATGAGCATGGGTGACAGGCAACCACCACCACACTCAGCACCACCACTCTTAGCTTTTTCTGTTGAGATGAGGGTCTGGCAAACTTTTTGCTGGGCTAGAACTTGATCCTCTCAGCCCCCATATTCTGAGTAGCTAGGATTACCGGCATGATATCCAGTGGGATAGATCTTGTAATTGATGGGAGGTTTGGCATTAGGTCAAAGTTTTCTTTCTTATATGGCTCACAGTAATATGTCTTAAGATCATGATGTCTTAAATTCAGTGAAATGTAGTTTTTTGAAATTGTTATATAGCCTCCCTCCTGCTTTTCCCCCCAACCCAGCTCTGCTGGAGTGATAACCTCATCACCTGTTTGAAAGCAACCTTTTCTCCCCACAACTCCTAGAATAGTAGCAATGAGAATAATAATATCAATAAAAGTAAGCCCTTACAAAGCACATGCTGTCACTGCTCTGAGCTCTGTACAGAGGTAGCATGGATGCTACTTCTAGTTCTCAGATAAGGAGACTGTGGTACAGAGGTAGCAGTGGCAAAAATCAGGAATCCAGACGGTCAGTCTGTGAGAAGACTTGCGCCAGAGACAACTAAAGGGTCTTCATTTTAATTAGGAGATCTTACCTGGCTCTACCTTAGACTCAAGTGGGAGCTTTAAGAAAACATGGAAAGAAATCTCCAAGCCACTCTAGCATGCAGACCAAGTACAGAGCCCCAAGTCATGTGCTGTTTGGGGTCTAGTACCACTCACCCCCTGATGTCATATCTTCTGTGTGGCTACCAGGTTTGGGGAGGGGGTTCAAGGACAGCATGAGCCTCTTAAGTTTTTATGTTGGTTTCCTAGGTTAGAAACCATGGCTCTGAGAACTTCAACTAATTGATGCTCTCCATTTTTATTTCTTGCTTTATCTCTCGTAGCTCTGGAGTGCACAGAAAATCAAGCAGGTAATTCCATTCTGGATTCCTTTTCTTTCTTTTTCCATAGTTCTCTCCTGGGTCACTTGGATCTAGTAGAAGCCTGTCCCGCAGCTTTAGGTGCCCAGCTTCTCCTTTCCCAGTTGCCCCTGGCTGCCTCACTCCTGCCTTCCACTCCAGCACCAGAGGGCCTGAGCTTAGCCTGGAGCTTAGACCAGGCTGGCTGTTGCCCTCAATCTTTGTCTAGGAAAGTATTGGGCTGTACTGAGTCCTGATGAGATGTCCAGAGAGTGGTTGTAGTCCTGACCCTAGGGGCCTTTGACCCCCTGCATGCAACTTTGAGGATAAGACACTATATACAACCTGTATTTGAGTTTTCTCTTGTCCTGAATTATTTATAGAAAGGTCTGACCAGCCCAAAGGCACCATACCAACACTGGGGAAGCTGTCCTTTCCCTGTTTCCTGTCCTAACACCTCTCCTTGTCCCCTCCTCTTCCCTTTTCTCCTTTTCTCCTCCTCCCTCCCCACCCCCCCACCACTTGTGCTCTGTTCTGGCCTCTTGCCAGGCTATTCTACATCCGGACACCAATGAGAAGATCTTCATGCCTTTTAGAATGTCAGGTAAGATCCCTGGGACACCCCCTCCCCTGCCCACATACTTTTCTTTTTTTGGTACTAGTACTGGGGCTTGAACTCAAGTCCTCCTGCTCTTGCTTGGCTTTCTTTTTTTTAATATTTATTTGATGCTCTGCCACCTGAGCCATGCCTCCAGTCTGGATCTTTGCTAGTTAATTGGAGATGGGTCCTTAGACTTTTCTGCCAGGGCTGGCTTTGAACTATGCTCCTTCATGTCTCAGCCTCCTGTGTAGCTAGCATCATAGGGGTGAGACACTGGCACTCTGCTCCTCAGACTCTTCTGTCCAGTCTGTGGTGTTGACTCACAGCTCCAGGAATGTACACACACACACACACACACACACACACAGCATTCCAAGGAGGAACAGTTTGTCACACATAGGCCATGCTCACACACATGCTCACACCTGCATGTTCACCTTAGTTCAACTATACAAGACACTGGCTAGGCTCAAGATCCCTAAAGCATTCATTCATTTGCCTTTTCTGTGGTTGGGGTAGAGTCCATGGGGTAGCCTCCATGGCCAATCTGGTCCTTGGCATCTACATGCCCCTTTCTTCTGAGACATATACAATGTGTACTGTCCTTTCAAGGCCTGCTCCTTGCTCCCTTTTCTAGACTGTCAGTCTACAGATTAGCAATCCATCTTCTAATCCTGCTGTTAACTCTTGTTTGGGATGGATGGGCTCAGTTTACATTCCTACAACTTAAGGAAAAGGTGAGATTCCTGTCCTGTAGAGACCATGTCCAGAGGTGGCTACAAGATCCCTGTCCCCCCCCAGAACTAGAGGAACAGTTCTGTAAATCTAGGCCTTGGACTTAAGCTGTCTAGGGTGACATGGTTGTTCTGCTCTTGGTTCTGAGAATTCCAGGCCCTGACCAGAGTCACACTGTAGAGGATCACTCTCACTCCGTGCAAGTGTAATGGGACATCTCATCCTGAGTTTATGACGTTGGCCTCCTGGAGGGCTGCTGCCTTCTGCCTTGGGAAGGCTTACACAGCTAAAGAAAGGAGGCTCCATCAGATGAGCTAGTCAGGGTCCCCGCCCCCTAGAAAGCCTGACTTCTTGGAGTAGTTAGGTTAAACAGTCAGGGGATGGAAAGTCACATACTACCCTGCAAACTGGGGTTATTTGTGCTGGGTAGCCTCTGATTCCAAGGTGGCCAAGCCTCTGAGCATCCTGGGGCTGTGGCTGTCATTGATCTAAGTTCCCATTCTGGTCCTAGCAGACTCTCAGGTCAGCCTAGCTTCCTTTGTAATTCTGAACCTTCCTGAGTCATACATTCTCTGAGGCCATAACCAAACTTGGAATCACTCCCCAGAGGGAGACAATAGGAGAGTGCTGGCTCCTGCATGCACAATTGTGCATGCTTAGGACATGAACTGTGGCTTTAGATGCAACTCAGATGAGCATGCTCTCAGCTGCTGGAGTCAGTGATTGCCACAAGTCAGCTGCTGGAGACAGCAGTGGGGAAGCCTTGCCTGAGGGCCACAGCAGTGAGGAAAGAGGGCCTGGGCCCAGCTGTGCTTCACCTTGGCTGTCTGTTGCTCTACTGAGGCTATCCAGTCAGGACTTGAAAGACTGGCACTTAGGTGTGCATCTCAGGTAGGTAAGGAATTCTGCCCTAAAGAGGTGGTCATGATGTCAGAGAAGCAAAGAAAGACAGGTTGAAGACAGAAGGATGACACTCCAGATGGCCAGGAAGATGACTGTGGTGAACGGGCCAAGGAGCATTATGCCCCTCAGTGGTCACAGGACCACTGGTAGTCATAGGTAGCAGGCAGCCCTGTCTGCAGAGACCCATCTGGGAGGGGAGGGAAAGCTGCCTGGCTGAAGAGGGACAGAGTAGGAGGCTGAGGATGCTGGGAAACCCTCTGTGGTGGGGGTGTGGGGAAGGCCGAGCTAGGAAAAGGTCTGAGGGGCTGGAGGTCGGTACCTCCTGTTAAACTATCCTGGGCCCTTACCAGGGCCAAGGACCAGACCAAGCCCAGAGACTCCTGGATATCTCAGCTGAGAGTCAGATGGATCATAAGACCTGATTCTTTTCTCTCCCCATTCACAGGTTACATTCCTTTTGGGACACCAATTGTAAGTATTACCTCCAAAAAAAAAATGTGGGGCTTTTATTCTCAGACTTCTTTGGGGGGATGGGGTGGGAGGTATTGGGGACTTGAACTCAGCTTGCTAGGCTGGTGTGATATTTCTGAGCCAGGCCTCTAGCCCTCTAAAACAAAACTTTGAATGCGTAACTTGACATCATTGTCTATAGATATTTGACTAAGATAATGACTCAGTCTCACTTCCTGGAAGGAATGGTTGAGGAAAATGCATGAATTTCTCTTTCCTTTCCTTGTGGCACCTAGCGTCAGGCTCCTTTAGATAAAGGTCTACTGATTTTCAGCAAGCCAAGTTGCTGAGTTAGGAAGTGCCTTTTGTCCCTACATGATTGTCAGGAAAAACAGGGAAGGTTTCCAAAGGAACTGCAGAAAGGAATACAAGGGCGTCTTCTGAAAATTGAAGTTTAAAATGAATTCAGAACGGATTTTGGGTGTTCTTTTTTGTTCAGTTTTGGAATCAGGTTTAGCCCTTGTTCGTTATTTTCTTTCCTGTGTTGAGTGCTCCACTTTATGAATATGGATAAATCTCAAAAACAGTGTTCAATGAAAAAAATAGTCACAGAGTAGTAATACTCTCTGATGTCATTTATATCATGTTTAAAAATGTGCAAAGTGATAGTATATATAGTATATGGGTATGTTTTCAATGTATCTGTAAAAGCATTTATGGGAGCAAAAAGCAACAGATTCATGGTACTGTTCATCCTGGGAAGACAGAAGGTGATGGAATCTAGCATTGTGTTTGTACCACTTCGTCTTTTAGAAAAGACAAAGTTTTCACAAAAATTTGAGGAAGTGGTAAGCCTTAACAACACATGAATGTTCATTATTTTATTCTCTAGACTTCTTTGTAGGCCAGAAATATTTTATTGTCCATATGTTTATGTTTAATTTTTAAAAATAGTTGTTACTATTAAGCACTTAAGCTACACCTCTCCACAGCACTCCCCTTGATTACATTTTTGACTCTGTGGGTGTGCACACATTCACACGTGGACACACAGGCACATGCACACATGCTAAAATGAAACCCAAGGCCTTAAGTCTGGTAGGCAAGCACTCTTCCACTAAGCTCTACTTCTAGTCCTTGGTGTTTTGAAACAGAGTCTTGCTATGTAGCTCAAGCTGGCCACAAACTCATGGTCCTCCAGCCTCCACCTCCCAAGTACTGAGATTACAGTATATACTACCAGCATTTAGTTTAAATTTTTAAAAATTGTACATATTTAGGAGGTATAATGTGATACATGTAGACACTGTGTAATGATCAATTCAGGGTATTTAGCATCTCTATCTCCTTAAATGATGATCATTTCTTTTTTTTTTTTTTTTTTTTTTTTTTTTTAATTTAATTTTATTTTATTTGTGAACATACTGTACAGAGGAGTTACAGTTACATGGGCAGGATAATGTGTACATTTCTTACCAAGCATTGCAGCCTCCTCCTTTGTTTATCCTTCACATGATCATTTCTTTTTGTTAGGAACATTTAGGTTCCTCTTCTGTTTATTTATAAACTATATGATGAATTGTTTTCTACTGTAATCACCCTACTATGCTGTGGAACAACAGAACTAAGTCTTCCTAACTTTATACATACATTTTAATTATATAAAAATATATATGGAGAGAAGTATTATTTACATCCCCATACTTACACCATTTCCCTAAAACTATCACATAGTTCTGAAATATTCCAAGGAGGATTACAGATTTCACTGCAATTGTGTTTAATATCTTTGTATTTCTTATAGTTGTATATTCTTTGTGATGGTTTTATTGGCTTGATGTTTTCCTCTTTAACTTCTCTCTCATTCTCTTATACACTAAAAATATCTGTCTGAGTTGTGTTTACCTCATCACTGTTCCTATTCCTGCTTTGCTTTATCTATTTACCTCATATATCACCACCTATATTTCATGTCAATCATTTAATTCCATGTCATTTTGTGAGATAAATCTCTCTCCCTCCTTCCCCCCCATGCTTCTCTCTCTCTTTCTTGTGCCAGCCCTGGGACTTGAATTCAGGGCCTGGGTGCTATCCTTGAGCTTTTTTTGCTCAAGGCTAGAACTCTACCACTTAAGCCACAGCATTACTTCCGGCTTTTTCTGTGATTTAATTGGAGATAAGAGTCTCCCAAACTTTCCTACCTGGGCTGGCTTCCAACTGTGATCCTCAGATCTCACCCTCCTGAATAGCTAGGATTATAGGCATGAGCATCTGGTGCTTAGCTAGGTAAGTCTCTTTTGGGGACAACATTTAGTTGAGTTTTACTTTTTTACTCAGTTTGAATGATAAATGGAACCCAGATATATTTATCTGCCACTGGCTGCTGAGATCACTTATCTCAGCTATCAAGGGTTTTTTTTTTTCCTGGCTTGTTTATTGAGCTTTGTTATTATCGCTATTGTCTTTTATTTATTTTTAATTCTTTTAGCTTCTAAAGTAGTTTGAAAGAGGAGTATTGTAACTAATTCTCTGTAAATACCATCCCTCCGTATTATTGTACAGTAGAGAGAGGTTGCATTTTCTATACATACTGTACAAATATCAATACACTATCCTCAGCCCTATCCACACAAGAGACTATTAGTATGTCATCTTTACATTATTATTTTTATTTGTGAACAAGGTCTCACTATTTAGCCCTGACTGGCCCCAAATTCTCTACCCTCCAGCTGTTACCTCCTGAGTGTTGGGTTAGTAGGCACGGGTCACCATGTGCAGAGGTCGCTCTAGTCTTTATTTACCATTGTACCTCAAGACACCTGCCTTGTTTGTGAGAATAATCTGGAATCTCATCAGATTTATGAAGCTTGTATTAATAACTGCATTAGATGTCAGCGTTATTGATTTAGGCTATGTACATTCAGTGTTTGGCTAGGGGATTTGCTTAAATCACACTCAGTTTGTGACAATACACTTTCTGTGTCCTTATAAGTCTGGGAGTCTTCTTTTTCTCTTTCATACATGAACAATAGTTGGTCTGATCCTCTTTTCCTTTGTATATTAGCTTCCCCCTTCCCCTGAAATCATTTGGGTTTTTTTTCCTCTTATCTTTGGAGTTCAAAAATATCTCTAGGATTAAAAAAATCTTCTCCGTATATTTTATAAAATTATACAAGAAATATATGAATATGTTCTTGGAGATTCAAAAATACCACCAGGAATTTTTTATAAAGAATATATTAAAAGTTATAGAAGTAATACATGCATATCTCTTAGCCCAGAATTCAAACATTACAAACAAAAGCGAAAGACCTTCTACTGACCCTCCACCCCTAGGCTTTGCCCAGAAGTAAGTTCTCTTAGAAGTTTGTGAGGGATTCTAGCTTTCTATTAGAAATATCACCTTCAGGCGATGGCTTACACCTGTAATCTTAGCTACCAAGGAAGCTAAGATCGGAGGATCGTGGTTCAAGACCAGCCTGGGCAGGAAAGTCCATGAGACTCTTATTGCCAATTAACCACAAGAAAACTGGAAGTTGGTACTGTGGCTCAAGTGGTAGAGCACTGGCTTTAAGCTGAAGAGCTGAGGGACAGCACCCAGGCTCTGAGCTCAAGCCCAACAATAAAAAAAAAAATCTATCTATCTATCTATCTATCTATCTATCTATCTATCTATCTATCTATCTATCTATCTATCTATCTATCTCACCTTCAATGGTTCTTCTAGACCCAGGCACCTGTTTCTATAGTCCCAGCTCCTCTGGAGGCTGAGGCAGAACTATGAGTCTAGCCTGGGGAACACAACAAGATCTATCTCAGAAACAAAGCTAAACTAAAAAAGTGTGGCCAGTGCTGTCACTCACTAATAGAACATGTGTTTAGCATGCATACAGCCCCAGCATCCAGACTCTAGAGCCTTTCCCAGGACTAGCCTGGACTATGATCTTCCTACCATAACCTTCCACACTGGTGAGATCACAGGAATGATAGACTACACTTGGTTTATTGATTGAGATAGGCTCTTGCTACTGTTTTGCTCCATTTGGCTTTGAATTGCTACCCTCTTAATCTGTACTTCCCAAGTAATCCAAGTAGCTGGGATTACAGGCACGTACCACCATGGCAGGTGCCTGTGTGCACACATGCACTCACACACACACACACACACACACACACACACACACACACACACACACACACACACACACTTTTTTTTTCCAGGCTTGAACTTAAGGCCTGAATGCTGTCTTTGAGCTTCTTTAGCTCAAGTCTAGAGCTCTACACACAGTCACAGCTCCATTTCTGGTGTTTTGGTAGTTTATTGAAGATAAGCACTTGGCTGCACATTTTTATTTTTAATAGTGCTGACTTTTTCCTTAAAAAAACGATGTTTCAGGTAGGCATTGGTGGCTCATGCCTGTAATCCTAGCTGCTCAGGAGCCTGAGATCTGAGGATCGTGGTTCAAAGCCAGCCCAGGCAGGAAAGTCCACAAGACTCTTATCTCTGTATACCACCCAAAACCCAGAAGTGGCGCTGTGGACCCAGTGGTGGAACTCTAGCCTTGAACTGAAGAGCTCAGAGTTCAAGCTCCACAACCACCACCACCACCACCAACAACAACAAAAAAGCAATGTTTCCCCACACCTTTGTGACACTGGTGTTTTTTTGTTTTTTTAACAATACAATAGGGGCAGGGATAGCTTCTCATGGTTTCAATTTTTATTTCTTTGAACACCAAAAAGTTTGTGCTTTTTAAAATGTATTTGTTGCCATTTCTTCTATGACTTGCCATTCATACCATTTCTCTAAGTATTTATTCACGAGGTTTATTTTTCTAATTTATTGTGGGAGATATTTATATATTTTGGATATTAGTCCTAAGAAGTATGTATATTATAAATCTCCTGCTTGGCTGTTTTTCTTTTGTTCTCTGACATTTATGTTATAGAAAAGTTTAAAGGGTTGATGTTTTAAAACATACTGCTTGTGTGTGTGTGTGTGTGTGTGTGTGTGTGTGTGT